GAGTCTTTGGTTGTTTGATTATTTGAAGTGTCCGCTAGAAGCTCTTCTAGACGACATCAAAACAAGCATAACTTGCTTGACTATACCTTACAAAACAAGTTCATAAAACCCCGCTATCGCAGACTAGTGTACTTTGTGTAAAACACATCGAAAGAAGAATTGAAGTTGTTTTCAGACAAAACCCCACTAGATTATCTAAATCTAAGTACATCGCGAGTGCTTCTATCGTACTCACCCTCGAACTTATATACATTGGTGATTGTGTGTGTGTGTGTGTGATTTAGTATCTAGATTGATGATCTAGATGCTTGTTTCATTTGCACGCTGCCTGTTACCGAGCACATCAGCAGATTGATTATCCTCGAATACCAGGGTAGGCTCTTCTTGGATATATCCTAATTCCACTAAGAGGTTGCGATTCCAGATGGCTTGGCGTGTTGCATGTGCTAGCACGGTGTATTCTGCTTCTGTGGATGACAAAGCCACAGTTGATTGCTTCTTGGATGACCAGGCAAACGCTGCACCACCTAGGAGGTATGCATAGCCAGAAGTGGATCGCCGGTCATCAGGATTGGATGCGTAGTCAGCATCTGTGTAGCCGGCACTGAGAACTTCATGTTCTTCATTAGCTCGGAAGGTGAGTTTCAAGTTCTTTGTTCCAGATAGGTACCTAAACACTCGCTTTACAGCTGCCCAGTGTTCAGAACCTGGGTTGTTTGAGAACTGGCTCAACAACTGCATGGCGTATGCGATGTCCGGACATGTGCAAATCGCAGCATACATCAGTGAACCGATCGCAGATTGGTAGCCACTGTGGATATTAGGGTTGGCTCCTTCGTCAATACGTCGCTTGCATAGGATAACGTTTGGGTCGAGTGGAGTTGTGATGGGTGATGCGTTGTGGAGACCAAAGCATGTGAGTATTCCATCGATGTATTGTTGCTGGGATAATGAGATTGAGCCGTTATCATGGTCCCTCTCTATTTCGATCCCAATGATCTTCTTTGGCTTTCCTATGTCCTTGATGTCGAATAGCCCTGCTAACTCCCTTTTTATTCTGTCTAGATCCTCAGGTGTTTCAGCAAAGATTAACAAGTCATCGACCCATACAGTCAGGAACACTGTCCTGCTGTCTCGGACGCATTTATAGACACAGTGGTCGACTTCAAGCTTTGAGAATCCGATGGAGGTGAGTTTCCTATCAAATTCATGGTTCCACTCGCATCCTGACTGTTTTAGTCCATACAGGGTCTTGTACAATCTGCAGACACATCCAGATCCATCATTGTAGCCTGGAGGCTGGCGCATGTATATTTCTTCCTTGAGTTCTCCATTAAGGTAAGCCCCTTTAATGTCCATCTGACCAATTTCAAGATTGTTGATGGCGGCTATACCTAGCACGGCATGAACAGATTCGAGATGAACAACTGGTGCAAATGTTTCAGTAAAATCGACTCCGGGGATCTGCAAGTAGCCTTGCGCTACAAGACGGGCTTTATAGCATGACATGTTCCCATGCTCATCATATTTCTTTGCATAGGTCCATCTGCAGCCTACAGTCTCGCGTCCCTCTGGTAGATCCTCAAGCTTGTAAGTTTCCATCTCTCCAATCATTGACATTTCCTCATCCATAGCCTTTTTCCATTCAGGCCATTCTGCTGATGCTTGTGCCTCTGCAAGGCTTCGTGGGTAGTCATCACGATTAATGTGCTCACTGTCACCAGCAAAATAACTTTGGATTATGGCAACATTGGCTGATTCTGGAGGATGTTCAGATGGGATCAATAGAGTATGTGATGGTGCTGCTTTGCATGCATTGGGATTATTAAGCTTGTGATAGTCGTGATCCTCTGTGATACGTGAGCTTCGTTGTGGTGCTGGCATGAGGGTATTATCTGGTGGTGCTTGCTGACTTGTTTCTTCAGCTCCTTTCGGTGATTGTGGATTGACATCTGGTGGCTCCCCCTCAATCCGCACATCGCTGATGGGCTTGATATCGACAATAGGTGATGGTTCTGCCCATGTGTAGTTTCGTGACTCCTGAATGTCATGCAGGTGCACGTCATAGTACTTGATGACAATGGGGTCATCCGTGAATCCTACAAAGGTATGTTTCTCTGCCTTTGTCTGATCTCCTCCGAGTTTTGATAGGTTTTTCCCTTCTCTTTTCACCCAGACTTCACATCCAAACTCCTGGAGATGTGCAACACTAGGCTTAGTGCCCATCCATGCTTCTTCCGGAGTTTTTCCAGCAAGGGCTCGCATTGGTGCTCGATTTCAGATGTAGGTGGCATACTTGATGGCTGACTGCCATAGGAATGATGGCAGGTTCCTGCCTATCAACATGGCCCTGGCAAGTTCGACGAGCATTCGATTGAACCACTCTGCTACTCCGTTTGATGAGTGTGCGTATGGTGCTGACGTTTGTAAGCAAATCCCCTTCTGCTTCAACCATCCTCTGACTTCCTCGCTTGTTAGCTCCTTCGCATTATCAACGTGCAGTACCTTCGGTGTTTGCTTTAGCTGTGTTTCCACCAAGGTAATGTATTCCTTGATCTTCTTAAATCCCTCTGACCAAAGTTTCATGAATTCAGGTGTACAGCGGCATGTGGTGTCGTCGGTAAATGCGATGTTGTACTTTGATTTCTGCAGGGACTCGATGCGGGCTGGGCCCCAGATGTCTTCATGGGCTAATTCTCCTGGCTCATCTCGTCAATGCTGTGCCTCCTGCGGATATGGGCGAAGAGTCATTTTTGCCTGGATACAGGCATCACATTGGCTGAGTGGTGGTGAATCCTTTGCAATAGTGAGTCCTTCCACAAGTCCTTCCTTCTCAAGTCTTTCTAACCCTGTCTTTCCTAGGTGTCCCATCTTCTTGTGCCATGCGTCCCATGTATTTTCGCTGGCATCTGCTGCAATGTTGGATTGTTTGGGGACTACATTGCGTGCACATGCCTCCATCAAGTACAGGCATCGTGACTTCTTCCCTTCTGATATGACTGTCCCATCCTTTTTCTTGAATTGGACCTTGCTGTTACTGAATGATGCTTCCATTCCAGCATCATCCAGTCTACTGATGGAGATAAGGTTGTTGACAGCTTTCGGGGCATATAAAGTATCCTTGAGCTGGTGAGTAATGGTTTTTCCGTTGACTTTGCAGTCTAACATCACTGTTCCTCTTCCTAGCGCATGCACTGATGCACTTCCGATACCTGCGATGGATGTGGACTTGAGTGGTTTGAAGTCAGAGAAGGTTTTGCGTCGGTTGGATATGTGGGATGTGGTTCCAGAGTCTGCAAGCCAGCTGTAACGTGAGAAATGTGGATCAAATTGGGGTGTTTCTGCCCGGTATGCTGCTTCCGCTATGTTGTCCTTGACGTCTCCTGACTCCTTTGCCTGATTAGCTCATTCCTTCTTCTTACATCCTTTATTGCTCCTGCCCGGTCCCTTTCCTTCCTGACCACCACCCTTTGACCAACACTGGGCCGTGGTGTGGCCTCTCTTGTGACAATTATAGCACTCAATGTCATCGGGACTCTTTCCTGATGATGAGTGGTTATGTCCACTCCTGCTACCTGTCCTCCCGCTATGTCCATACATGGCAGATTTGCCTCCACCAGATTTCTCTTTACGTCGACAGTTTTCCTCAAGGATGATGGCTATGAACTTGTGCAACGTGACAGTGGGGTTGTTTTCAGTTGATCCAAGGTATGCTGATGTAAACTGGTCCCAGGATTCTGGTAGTGACGATACAAGCAGCATCAGGAAGTCTTCATCGGTGACGATACTCCCCAACATGCCAAGCTCTTCCTGGATCCGGTGCATCTCTGTGGTATGTTCAACAATGTCTGTTGACTCATTGGCAATGGTGCGGTAAAGTCGGCGGTGGTGCGCTAGTATTCCTAATTTTCCTCTAGCTTCCTTTACTAGTTTAAGCTGTGTCCACATCTCAGCCGACGTCTTTGCTCCTGCGATGTGTATCATCTGCGAGTCACTCAACGTGAGCTCGATTTGGGTCTGCGCTCATCCATCTCCCTCTTCCCACTTCGTGATCTTCTCTGATTCTTCAGCTGTCAGTGCTTTGACATCTGCCAGAATTGGTTTCTTTGATGTCCCATCAGCATACTTCAACAGGGCTCATTCTCACAGGATCGCAGTGATGCAATGCTTCCACAGAACCCAGTTATGCTCCTGGAGTAGCTCGATGTGGAATAATGATGAGGGTGTGGTGTCAGACATGATGTATAGGGATGGTTGGTAATTTGGCAAGGTAATTGATTATGGTGAGTCTTCTGTAGTTTAGTTAGGACCGGGGCCCATAACCTGTTGTAAAATAGAGTGTAATGAAGGTGGTAAGCACAGTGGTAAACTGAGAGACTCAACTGTTTGAGAGAGATTGTGTTAGGAAGTAGTTGAGCAATTTTTTTATTGGGGGCTGAAATCCCCAGTATATATACTACAAGGTAAGTACTTCTAGAATATACTACTATCTACGAGTGTCCTTGTCTGACTCATTTCTTAGTGAGCAAGTGAGCAAACGACTCGAGGAGAAGAGACATGAAGATTCTCACATGGCTTCAATGATAGTCCGATTGCCGGATTGCCGGATGCGGCTGGTGCATCTTCGACACCAACAAGTAAGAGTACGAGGGGAGAAACATTTAGCAAGAGCAATGATGCTCGAATATTCCGGATGTTGCCGGATTGCCGAGACACGGCATGCCCGTCACTATGTCACAACCTGTAGGTCGGTCACAACAACCGGTAACGGCCAACTTCGCGGCGAGTAAAATTGGCTAACGTGCAAGATCCAGTACTTGCTTGCTGTGGTCCGTCCCCGCTCATTACTTTACCGGCTCAAAAACCTCAATGCATGCGGTGAAGAGGGAATCAAGATTACTTTCGAGATTCCCATCTTTGGTAAACTCGTCAATGGACCTCAAGACTAATTGATTACGTAGAGACATTCTAGTATTGATATAGTGGTATAGTACATGCGATCAGCAATTTGGACAAGCTAAAGCTGCAGAGAGCTCTATCTCATGCCTTAGCTGGCCGCAAATTTCGGCGGGGGCATCCTTGGACGTGTAGACTCGAAGACCGAGGAAAATTGTGTCAGTTTCAGACATCATGTCTTGGATGTTTACAGTCTCGTCATCGTCGTCGTCGGAGACAGCATCAGTCTTGTCGACGTCGGTCTTTTTGTCGTTATCTGTGAGGATGAATTTGACGACACCGTCCTCACCTGATTTCTTCCTCTCCCCTCATCTTTATCTTCACATGTTTTCTCAGTCATCTTTTCATTTTCTTGGCCAGCAATATTCTTCACGACTTCTCTGCCAGTAGTGTTTTCAGTCTTCCTTCCGGCTTCCCCCTCAACGACCTTCTTCTCTTCAGCGACCTTCTTTTCCACCTCCACTTTCGCGGCCAAAGCCTTCCGCTCTAATTCGGACAAGTCCTGTCCAGCCAGTACATCCAAAGGAATGGGCAGATTCTGAGCCTGCGAGCTATTATCAATGTTCATAAACCGTCGAATAATGTGAATTAAATGAAAAGATTACCTCGTATTGAAATCTACAAGAAGAGGTCAATCAGTCAGATACTGTGAGGCAGGTGTCATTTAGTGACTTACTCATAGCAATGGATTGACTCTTGGCGCGCTCAGTGAGCACCCTCGAAAGGGAGCGGTAATTCGAAATATGGATGCCTTCTCGAAGGTATGCCTAGCAGTTATTCTTTTAGAAGCAAGCATCGCAGAAAGATAGGTTTCCCCTTACCGGTGGGGGATACACGAAGCGGTCCAGACGAACCTGTGTCCAAATCAGAATGACGTTCCTCCTAGAACACTTAGTACGACGTACATGTACAACATATGAGCCTGCCTCCAAGTCCAGCTCAACGTTTATGCTCCGTGCTAAGACCCTAGACGCTGAAGATTGGGCAATGATATCCTTTTCTCCTTTTTTAAACACCGCGAAATCAAAGGTCCAGTGCAAGAACCCTGATATAGGTTTGAAGTAACGGTTATTTAACTGGGACAGAACAATAACCGCTTTGGTAGCAGCAGGCAATGTGATAGTGACTGTGGCAGCGACTCAGCAGGATATAACAAAGCTGGAGATAGAACATACATGATACATCCCCGTATGTCCAGGCCGACAGGAGCGAGCGGGCTGTTACATGAAGCCATTGAGAGAACATGACCCATTGCGAATCAAACAAAATGGTTTTATCGATCTCCTGCCAGCATTCCAAAAAATCTGTGTCTGCAAGGTCGCGAGGATGAGTGAAACCTAAGGAAGGAAAATGAACAGTGAACGCACATTCCATGACAAATTGACCGTCGTCTCCGAAGGAATGTCCAAGCTGGGGGAGTATCTCGAGCCATTCCGGTGTCCACTGTTTCGAGCCGTCTGACCATGGGCCGGTCCATCCGGAATGACTCAGAGGATTTCTGATGACAACGAAACGTTTACCTTTGCATTCAACCGCTCTTAGAACGGAGTATGCATGCCCGCCCATCAAACCGCTGACTGTGATAGCCACCTCCCCGCTACGACTAGAATCAAGGCAATTGAATGCGACTCCAAAGAGACGATCATGATTGGCCTTGAGCAATTCCTCTGTCCAAAACAGATCTGGATCAAGGATGTCCTGGAGATAGCGTTAGCCACGGCCATACAGAAGAAACTATCAGCATCACACATTTGTGGGAATGAAGCACGCTACACCGCTGTCCCTAAATTAGCTCATGTTGATTAAGGCAAATGAGTCATGGAACGTACCCCGTGAGGTCTTCAACGGCCTCGCACGCCCAGCCACGGCTCAAGGCGCCATAACTCCCGTGGAGTTTTGCGTACGCCTTTTCGACCAATGGAACCCATGTCTCTCCATCAGTGCTAGACCTGGCAAAATAGAGGGTAGCGCTTCCCCTACGGGAAGATCTGTTATAGAACGCCTTGTCGTTGTGATATAATTGCTTTTCTTGACAGCTCAGCTCTTCGAATTTTGGAATGGATGTATAGAGCAGGCTACGAAGAATGAGAACATTGCAAGATGAACCGTAGGGAGCCACTTACTCGTCGATGACCACATCGACCCATCTATTATCGCGAAAGAAGATGAATCCGTACACCCCAACCTTTTCGTCTCTCTGGATACACAAATGAGTTTTATACCAACTCTGTCAGGGCTCAAGGCAGACGTACCGCAACACAGAATTTTTCTACTAATCCCGGGGACGGGCACGTCGTCGCCAATGCGGAAACAAACCAGCAATCACCAATTTTTCCCTGAACTATATCATTCGAAGATGCGCCATCTACGAAGAACTGAGGATTGTCGAAGATCTGCGTTACGCGGAGTACATCAGAGGGGTTGTATCTTTCCTCGCTTGCAAGTCCATGAAGGCACCGGAATCTGTCATTCTGTAGATCAAATTCGTGATCTCTGTGAAATTTTTAGGTGGACTAGACTGAGAAGAAGAATTGATAACAAACCTGAACTTTCGATTCTTCGCCTTGCATTCCTTGACAATATGTTCAACCTTTGCCTTGCAATCGGCTAGTGCCCTTTCTAGTTCGGCGGTAACTAGAAGGCCGGCATGGTCTCGTTCTTGAAGGAACGATGTCGTGGTCTTCTCAACAGTCGGCTTTCCTTTGAAAAGATTGAAGAGAGGCATTGGTACTGACTGGGCAGAGGATCAACTCATTGAGGTCTGATTAAATGAGGGACCCGGCAAGCCTTTGACATCAGTTCAACATATCATCGAGGGCGGGTTTGAATTTGACTTTGGCGCTTATATGCGCACTGCATGAAGGGGTATCCGCGGTTTGCTGTAAAGTTTTAATATACATGATCGACAAACTCTGATGATAAAACGAAATCTCCAGTAATGCGTCGAGTATATATATATACAATGCTTTCAAGGATGCATAGAACTTACCTTTAGCCTCATGGATATATTATATTGTACAACACACTGCAAGCAAGAACTTGACATTAGACGTATCCGGGATGGAAGTCTCTAGGCGCTGGTTTGGCGCTTAGACTTATCATCATCGTCACGGTACAGCTTGGTCATGATCGTAGTTTCGTGTTCGTGTTGATCCAGCCATAGCACCTGTCCAGACGAATTATGGTACTGATTAATGTCCCCTCCCTTGATTGAGTCCTGGGCCAGAAGCGACGGAAAAGTTGGGCATCACTACCTCACAAGTCGCAAATGATAACGTCCCACGCCTGCCTGCTGACCAAGCTGCCCTCACACCTTCATACCCGCAAAACGCTGAACTTTTGGATAACGAAAGTTCCGGATGGATCGTGGTGTCCTGATAATGTCGGGAATGCCCGAAGGGAGAACAGCAGGTCCAGGTATAGCCAGCTTCGTGGTATGAGCGCCTATGGAAGAGAAATCTAGATGGGATGGCGAATGGCCTGGATATAGTATAAAACCAGCTTGCATGGCCGAAGCGCATCCAAGGAGGACCGAGAGTGAAGGCGGGTCATTTCCTCTGCAAAACTTGTGTATACTTCCTCGTCCATCTTTCTCCTGAGGTGTTGGCCTGAAGACGGCCATAATCCAGCTGGCAACAATGGAAAGGCCTGTTTGGCGTAATCTGTTGCAATCATACGTCTTTTCCTAGACATAAATGATCGTAGCCAGAATTTTTGAAAGGATGTATGCTTGTACTAGAGGAAAGCCGCCATAGTCGGGCAAGATCTTGACAGGCGCTCTAAAAAATTTATACCTAGCTTAGTGTGCTGATCTGCTACAAGTCAAACTTTACTCACCTCAACACAAGCAGCCTCTGGAACTCGCCGTGACCCTAAATCTGCATCAACAACGGGACTGAGGGGTAACATGTCGTCTCCGATTCTTCCTCCATCTCAAGGAATGTTTCTATACAAGTTGCGGAGATCAACATTCTCGCCATCTAGCGACTCTGCAAGTGGCAGCCTTCATCTTCCTTGTCCTGGATGTATGTCTACATCACTACCCTCCTTCCATTCCTCCGTCATAAATGCCACTCTGAGTGATTCCTGGTCCAAATCTAGTACATCCCTCTCACGTATGTTGTATGTGATGCATAAGATTGAAAACGAAGGTGGCAGGTGATCGGGTTTCTCATGCGAAAGCGATGACAAGTCGTCAGCTGGAGGGACGTTACACTGACTGGACGGAGACGCGGTGGCTGCGATGTAATTTCCAGAGGCTTTCCGCAAGGATAGTGAAAGATAAGCCGAGAGATGCATTTAAGTGTGAGTTAGGGCTGAACATAACCGGAAGGCGATACCCCGGGCCGTGAACATCGAACACAGTGTGCAGTCTTTTTCATTCGAGTTTGGTACGCAAGAAAGGTCGGTTATTTTGGATATCAGAGAAGGACTTCATTTTTTGACCATTTTAAAGAGGAACAAAGCGAAATGCCCTAAAACACCCGCGTGTGACGACCCCACCGTACGGGAGGATGGTAGTCCGACACCTACATCATTCAAACGTTTGATTCCCATTATGAATCTTGATGAGAGTTACTCCAAGGAAACGACCCCGCCTGCATTCTCCGTTCGCAGTTCCAGTCCCAAACGCTCAAATACACACGAATGAAGGCATTGGCATTGGCAAGAAAGGAAGCTTTCTGAGCAAAGGTAGGCTTCTACTGTGTGACCCTCTGCAAGGCTCGCTAAACCGATCGGTAAAGAGAGGTCACTCCTGGTCATTCCCAGCTTCAGGGAGGTCTGGGGCTCCACTTTCGATGGGTTCATCCCTCCGAGGACATTTACCAGATTGCTCTACGCGCTACGATGCTGTCACCACATCCGTGCTTGTGATCGCATCCCTTGGTCTGTGCGCATAGTTCGCCTTGGATGGTAACCCCAGTCATTGTGCGGGTGTAGCTGCTGTCTGCGGTTATGACGCACTTCATCGGGAAGGTGGGAGAGGCATAGCTGTCTGACGTTCTGAGTCGGAGGTACGAGGGAGGAGGGCGTTATAACGCGCTGGTTGGAACTTTGTGTCGACCTTAGTGAGGGATGAAGTCGATTTAGGGCCGATCGCGTAACGGTGGGCGAAGGTATCTACAAGTGCTATCTCGTTAGACGTAGCAAGAGGGTGGGGTAGCAAGACCGACCACAAGTCCCAAACATCCCAGCATATGTGCAACCGAACAGACGGCAACCTAGGTTGTAGCGTATCTGCGCGTTGCCGCCATTAACCTTCTCAGAAGCTGTGCGAGGATAACGGCGATCAAAGTCGGGCACATGCTACGAGCGTTCTTCCAGAGCTGGGACTGGGTAGATTACTTGTGAATACGGTGCTCGCTTGAGTATGAGGAACGAGAACGAACCTTCATTGAAGCTTGGGGGAGTCTCCCCTCATTGCGCCTAGGAACGGTTCTGAAGGATCCAGTGCAAATGCATGCCAGTGTCCTGTTGTACGAAGCGGATAAAAGGTGGAATCGCGTCTGTTCAGTCATCGCACAAGGTCGGAGAGCCTATGAAGCAGGGTTCAGAGTATCGGAAGTAGCATGCGCCGCGAAGCTTCCTTTGTAACAGCGTCGAGTATCTATAGGAGATACATCAGATCAGCGTAGCAGAGAAAGAGGAACGGGTCAGGACGTACGAATGATCTGCATGGCGAGCTCGACTGCAACCCGGCCCTCTTCAGATCACATTCCCAGCAAAGGGAATTGGCCAGACCCGATGCGGTGGTGCTGAGAAAAAAACAACCATCTCCCACAAGGAGATCAGTGGGTGCATTGATATGTGACAACAAGAGCTGGATTGATAAAGTTTCGACGCGTCTACAATCTTCTTCAGACCATCAATCCCGGTCAAGGTCGGTACCCGGTCCACCCCTCGAGTGAACGCTGCTATTACTGGTAACCCACTCTTCCTCCATTGATCAAAAAGATCCACCCTGCAGGGGCATATGGCCAATTGCCAGGCTTCATTTTATCCAGACCATGATACTCCACAGCATTTCTTGCATGCATACTCAGGGGGGCAGTGTCTGTCGGCGAAGGATTCAACATGTGTTGGCATACGAGTGCATGGTACGTACGCTATAACTTTACACGCTCTCACACTTGCACCAGTTCCTCGCACTTGATCCAACGGCGGCCGTGCCCATATTGCGCACGTTGATGGGCAGTGACATAACTGGGCGGGAAAGTATTGGTAGCTTTGGGATGTTCAATGTCGACACGATGAGGCGAGTGCACCATCGTTATTTCACCGACCCGGACTAGACATTATTAGAATGAATATCGCGGTGAGGAACTGTAAACCTTACCGAAAAAATTGTATATTCCCTGACATGCTTCCGAGCCAAGCCATCAACGTAACGCTCAAGAGACTCCCGCTTTTCGCTGAGAACAAGGTGATCGAGCACGAAGAGCGCTTGACATCATGAACGGACGTATCGACACCGAACAAGGGAGTAGCAATTGGAATGGACGGTCTTCTGGCGCTGAACAAACATTTATCTGTTGATTCCAATGTCCAAGCCCACGTAGGACGACATGGTTGGCTGTGGGTGGTTTAGAAGCAGCGTTATCGTCAAATGTGCCTTTGGGTATATTCTTCCTGACCGTTACTGTCGTCGTCGTCCTACCCTCCATGCATTGACCTCTACCCCCTAGCACGGCCCTCCTTTGTTACCACCACCCTCCTCGTCATCGAGCTGCTAAAGTGTTCCAATTTCGGTCATGCTGTGTTCTCGCTACAGACAAAGATCTTTGATCTTTGATCTTTAGACAGATTCAAAGTTACGAAATCCCGTGTGTAACATCGATTAGGCCGATAGATTTGTATCGGAGTGGTGCTGTGACGAAGTACAATAATCGAATTGGTGATAGTAGTAGACAGGCACGACAGCTGTCATTGGGTTGATGAATATTAGCACGAACAGGAGACACGCTGGGTCTGATCGACAGGCATGGAAGTAGTTCGGAGAAGAGAGCATATACTCAGGTTCAATCGCATCCTGTCTCCTCCCTTTGATATCCTCCATCAAGACTCGTTTGTAATAGTCCGAACCCATAGTCGTTATCCCGCCATTTAGTGATGTCGGAAGGGTCAGGGGTCGATAACCTTGTAAGTGTAAGGGCACGACCGAGCTGATGATTCGCGTGTTGGGTCTCTGAGACGAGCATCCCACGATATGGGAAGCAGTTGTATTCATGTGATACGAAACATCAGGCACACGCGTAGTAAATGAGATGGATATCTTGTGAAGGAAGGAAGCGGATTGGGACATAGCCATTGCCAAAGCCGCTGGTCACGGTTGTATTGAATAGTATAGCGAGCATGGACGGTATTGGGCAGGGCGTGGGAAAGAGAGACCGCGGTTCTTGACCGTTATTGACATTCTTGTTTCATGTCTATATAAAGGGTCGCGAGTTGGACACAAAGTCAAGACGAAAAATAAATGATACGCACGATCGATAGCTCAACGTGACGATAGATCTCGAAACTCCTTTGACGCGTGCCGCGTAACAGAGTAACGTTTAGTGAACCCGTAACATCTCGCCGTTGATATTGAAGACGAATGTGAACCACGATCATGGCTGCTGGTCAGAGTCTGTGAGCAAAAGTAATGGAACGATCAAAAATGACGCACATGGGAGGCCTCACGCCGACGGTATGATCAATCCATTCTTGACTCGATAGGCGGCCGACTTTTACTCAGACAACCGGACATCTCTCCTTGCTGTCAACAACTCCAATCTCTAGCTTCAACTTCCCAGCAGTGCGATCAAGAGCTGTAGACGTTCCATAGGTCAGGTAATGTCCTGTCGAACGTTGAAGTAGATAGATGCACTTGTTGACGAAATACCACGCGCAATTACACGCTCGCACCGTATCTCGACCACTTCCAAGGAGAAATCGCTGGCCTTGATATCCTAGACGACTTTGCAGGAATACAAAATATGACAAGCAGAGATGTTGACATGCCAGGCCGCCTTCCAATGAGAGTTCCCCAGTATCTGAACGATCTGGTAAAACGTTCGAAAGGAGATAGATGGCATTCGAGGTGCGCTACTGGTCTAGGCATCGTCCGGAGATGAGATTTGAGACGAAGATCGAGCAGGAGGATTGATTAAGATTGGTGCCGCATTTCGGCAAATGTGCCGCGGCACAAATCTAGTTATCTCGTCATAGCCGGCTGCGGCAACACTTCGTTCACAGTCAACGCGAGTCGGAGGATTTCGCTGCTGTGTGTATTTGTCGATGTCATGATCTGCTTATCGTATCTGCTCCATAGGTACCACTTACAGATATCGAACTCCAGGAAACAGATCCCTTGAAGAAGCTCTGGAAGCGGGTTTAGGATGGCCTCCGCCGAATGTATCGATTCTGTAACGGTCTTCCAAGGAGCCAGAAGGCATGCTAGACTGCCATGGGGACAGTTCCACAGCGCTGTTCTGACTTTCCTCCGAAAAGTCGACGCATCACCGTCAAATGATTTGCACGGGCTCAATCACTTCCCCCTCAAAGACGCGTCGAATCCTCACCAGTTTCCCTCTGTTCCTCGTGAATCACCCGCCCTGACCCGAGCCGTAAGCCAGGTCCGTTTTGCATACCAGGACTTCTAAAGTACGGCCAACAGTACCTGAACTCAGACTGGTCTCGAGGAAGAGCCCACTCTGACGCGTGCAAACCCTGTCGGCGTACCCGAACATCATATCCGTACACTACAGAGCCTCCAACAAGAAAACGCAATGTCTCCTCGGTGCTGGAAAACCCCTCCGTGATGATCCATTAACTCCTCCCCTGTACCAACATCGCCAACAGGTCTCACGGACAACCCTAGAACCGAGGGGGGAGACAATATTGCCATCTATTACGCCGGGCACAGTTCGAGCTACCACTGTTCAGAGCATTTCTCCACTAGACCAGAGCCCAGTGATGTCTGTCCCCATCTATGCTCTGTACCATAGCGACCAAATTCTCTTTCACAGAAATATCCCCCGTCGGTGGGCATGAAATCACGTTCGGTATTAGATCCCGAAATGGGACTACGCGAAATTCTTCGCCCCCAATATGTTACGCACTCAGGCAGATAAAATGCTACCTCACCATCAACCTGTGCTGTCCAAAATTTGGGACCCGGATATGGGTTCCCGCAGCATGTATCTTGTAGGGACCATCAATATGCGAAGTGGACTTTGACGAAAGGGTACGGCAGGATTTTTGGTATGGGCAATCCGACCGGGGTCCCTGTTTCTGCCCGCATCTCTGGTATCACTGCCCATAGTCCGACATTGTACTCCATATTCTTCTGCAACAGTCCTATTCGAGTTGTCGGACAATACGAGCATGACGTTCTTGGGCTTACCCCATCGGTGAAACTATATGTGCACCCAACACGATTTCATCGGAAATAGCTTTCATTGTTCTGCCCACCAACGTGGTGAGCTCATTCTTTCTCCCATTCCACTGTATCTTCACTCATCCTCCCTCTTCAGATTCGCGAAATCGGAGAGAGCGTATGTCTGCTGTTAGATCGGTGCTCTGCTTTACAAGTGGATACTTATCCGCTTTCGTTCGACTACACCTATGAAGTGGTGGGCCATCGCAGGGCGTGGCATATCCGAGCCCTGAAATTGGGGTGGGCTGCTCTGCGTGGGCGTGACACAAGATTCATATTCGACGCAATGACAAGACGATGAAATTAAACAATAGAACAGTAGTGATTGTATGCCGTCTCCCCCAGAGACTAAATTCACCCCCAGATCCTAAAACGGCAAACAGGTCATAAACGACAAACAAAACATACAGAAGGAAAGACACACTTTCGCAGTTCAATGCTCAAAAGAGAACGCGTAGCAAGTGTGCCGTGTGACATTACCGTGGGCGACTACGGCATACACGGCGGTTAGCATAGACCGAATCCTGTATACACAGGACTCGGAGCCTTCGGTGTGGAAAGCCCGCTTGCTAAGCAAGTTTTCAAGCCTGATGATGCCTTACAGCTGACTCCTTCACTACTCTGTCGGAATTGAACCTCCACGAGGTGGAATATAAAATCCAGCTTACTGGAATGAACTTTTTACAGGTCGAGTTCTGTCTACCTTTCGAGTCTTAATTGCTTCTTGGTTATCATCTCTTTGAGCTACCATGCGCTCTATCTTGTCTAAGCTATCGATGTTGATTCTGGCTGCTGTCCAGCTGCCTCGCGCATTGGCAGCACCTGGCACCAGTCGACGGTCCACCTGCACAGAGCCAACTATTCGTGTGGAATGGTGACTATTCATCTCACAGCATCGATGTATTTCTAACACCCCTTGTAGGAATACATTGACAGAAGACGAGAAGGCGGCATACTTCGCGGCGGAGCTCTGTCTCCTTGAGGCACCTGCTCAAACCGACATTCCAGACGTCTTGTCACGCTACGATGACTTCGTCAGTTTCCATTCATAATATCACTCTAATCGTTTTCATGTATTTCTATTTGATAGGTTGGTACACATCAGCAGCAAAGTGATTTAACAGACGGCAATGATTTCTGGCATGTAACTGGACAGTCAGTACTAGTCTTTTATTCATCGTCGTATACTATGCTTACCTAGGCTCTCTATGCTCTATTGTCCAGGTTCTTACATGTATGAACTATCATTTTCATCCTTGAGTTCGGGGCATATGGTCTAAACTCATATTTCAGGTCCACCGTTATTTCGTCTATGCCCACGAAACAATCCTCCGTAACGAATGCGGATACACTGGTGCTGTACGTCTGCCTACGTTTCACTCTAGTTGTCAAACGAATAATATTTTCAGTTACCGTACTGGAATGAAGCTGTTGACGCTGGTGCATTTTCGACCTCTCCCGTGTTACTAGACTTTGGAGGGAACGGTAGTGAGGAAAATGACTGGGCTGTCATTGACGGGCCTTTTGCTAACCTCTCACGGTACCTGGGCACTGGGACAACGAATACGGAGCACCTCCTGACGCGTGAAGTGAACGAGAACGCCTCACATCTAGCTGGACAGACATACGTTGATGCTTTGCTTGCCCTTGACACGTTTGCAGAGTTCAAAAAAGCTTTGGGTGTTTTAAGCACAGAGCTCGGGATCCATGTCGCAGGGCATGGTGGTGTCGGAGGGGATGTGCGTGCTTTTCCATATACGACTCGGATGCCTTTTCATCTCGGTATCTTTTGTCAGATGGCCGACGTTACAACTTCGCCTAATGATCCAATATTCTGGATGCATCACGGATATATTGATTATGTATGTTCAGTTTAGATTCGTTCACGTGTTCTTCATGGGCTGATTTTCGAGTCGTGTGTCTGTTAAAGGTTTGGTGGAAGTGGCAGGGCGACAACGAGACTCGTATCAATGATTTGAATAACATCGGGTATGAGTCGGAGAAAGAGCCTGCGACCGGTTATGTTGTACGTGCTATCGTGTTTCTGTGACAAGATGTACTAAACGACATATCAGGAGACCACCGGAGCTACCGTGTTGTATATGTTCGACATTCTTCCTAATGCAACGGTATGTGTTGGACTTCTGTAACAACGCGACTTCTGTTGATCCTTCTGACTGCAATGTAGGTTGCCGACGTGTTAAGCACGGAAGATGGTTTCTTGTGCTACACTTTTGCGGTTTGAAAGACGGATTAAACTTGAGCTTTTCCCTATAACCTCACTCCAAGGGATCCTGTTTCTGGTGACAATTTATCTATGGACTTTTTAACTTTTGTGTTCGAACGGACAATGATACAGATTTAATCCCTGAGGCCACGGGAACGCCTACGCGTTCCAAGTTCTTAGCCTTCCGTGTGATCCGTTCTCCCGTTTCTTGCGTTTGTCCCATGTCGACAATTCGACGACCCCTGGCTGTGTGCCTGATCCCTGGCCACTATGTTAACCAGGATGTCTTCACCGCATGAAGGGGTATCCACGATTTGCTGTAAAGTTTTGATATACATGATTGACAAACTGAATCTCCAGTAACGCGTCGATGAGTATATGATGCAACGCTTTCAAGGATGCATAAAACTTACTGTTTAGCCTCATGGATATATTGTACAACAAACTGCAAGCAAGAACTTGATATTAAACGTATCTGGGATGGAAGTCTCTAGGCATTGGTTTGGCGCTTAGACTTATCATCATCGTCACGATACAGCTTGGTCATGATCGTAGTTCTGTGTTCGTGTTGATTCAGCCATAGCGCCTGTCCAGACAAACCACGGTACTGATTAATATCCCCTCCCTTGATTGAGTTCTGGGCCAGAAGCGATGAAAAAGTTGGGCATCAACACCTAACAAATCGCAAATGATAACGTCCCATGCCTGCCTGCCGACCAAGCCGCCCCCACACCCGCAAAACGCTGAACTTTTGGATAACGAAAGTTCCGGATGGATCGTGGTGTCCCGATAATGTCGGGAATGCTCGAAGGGAGAACAGCAGGTCCAAGTATAGCCAGCTTCATGGTATGAGCGTCTATGGAAGAGAAATCTAGATGGGATAGTGAATGGCCTGGGTACAGTATAGAACCAGCTTGCATGATCGAATCGCATCCAAGGAGGACCGAGAAGTGAAGCACTGCACTGGCTGGTGCGTTTTTGATGGCGTAAAACGGGATTCTAAAGAGTTTTGATTTCAGCTTCAGTTTTTATGCCCCCGTTTTGAGTGCTGAAAAACGAGAAGTTATCTCAATTTCATTGTTCTATAAGGGGAAAGGTTTTTCATACCGTTTTACAGACGGCCTTTTCAGGACTGACAAAGGCTTCGTTCAAACAAAACCTTTTAAGGTTTCGTTATTCACGATCTAAAATGACCCGGCCCCTGCTGTGAAGACGGGTCATTTCCTCTGCAAAACCTTGTGTGTAATTCCTCGTCCATTTTTCTCCTGAAGCGTTAGCCTGAAGACGCCCATAGTCCAGCTGGCAACGATGAAAAGACCTGTTTAGCGTATTCTGCTGCAATCATACATCTATTCCTAGGCATAAATGATCGTAGCCAGAATTTTAAAAGGACGTATGCTTGTACTAGAGGCAAGCCGCCATAGTCGGGTAAGGTCTTAACAGGCGCTCTAAAAATTTTATACCTAGCTTAGTGTATGGTGGTTGATCTGCTACAAATCAAACTTTACTTACCTGAATACAAGCGGCCCCTGGAACTTGCCGTGACCCTAAATCTGCATCAATAACGGGACTGAGGGGTAACATGTCGCGTCCGATTTGTTGAGCAAGGCGAGCGTTGACCGCAAGCCTCGGACTATAATTAGATTACCGGTACATACCTTTTTAGTCTATTTTTTTCGTCGCGACATCCGAGTGTTCAACCAACGTCTTCACACTGAGATATATATTAATACTTACATATATTCTATAGAGTCGTGTTTTCTCTCGCAACCGTGCCTCCCCTTCGCGTACACCCCGGTCCACTGCCCAAGACGATTTTTCCTCCGTCTCAAGGAATGTTTCTATACAAGTTGCGGAGATCAACATTCTCGCCATCTAGCGGCTCTGCAAGTGGCAGCCTTCATCTTCCTTGTCCTGGATGTCTACATCACTGCCCTCCTTCCATTCCTCCGTCATAAATGCCACTCTGAGCGATTCCCGGTCCAAATCCATTACGTCCCTCTCATGTACATTGCACGAGATTGAAAACGACCGTGGCAGGTGGTGATCGGGTTTCCAATGCGGAGCGCAATGACGAGTCATCGGCTAGAAGGACGTTATACAAACCGGATGGCAACGATGTAAATTCTAGAGGCTTTCCGCTTGAAAATTAAGCAGACGATGATGATGAAAGATAAGTGGAGAGACGCATTCAAGTGTGAATTAGGGCCTAACATAGCCGGAAGATACCCCGGACCGGGCAGTCCTGAACATCGAATACAGTGTGCAGTCTTTTTCATTCCTACAGATACTGGTTAGTTGATACATTGTAGCTTATGTCTAATTACCTGCCTTCTATCTGTTCCTTTCGTTCCTGATGACCACGCCTAAACTATCTTGGAGACAGCTTTTTCTCCGTCTTCCCGAGTTTTATGTGTGGTAGAGTTTCTCGCCGTGACGCGTCTACCGCTTTGCTTGGCACTGAACGTCGACAATCACCAAAGGAACGAGTATCTGATGGAGAACCAGTGCGTTAGCACTCTCTACATGAATTATTGAAATCCATGTATGGAGGAGCTAGCGAGTGTGGGCATTGATTATTTGGGACCTATGGAATGATCTCCACGCTTCGTCTGCAGTTCTGCTGGTTTGGCCCTTCGCACTGCGTGGCATCATATCAGCGATCGGTCAAGAAGGATCAATGGTGAATTCTCAATCATTGCTGTGGACAGAATCGCCGTCGTCTCGTCGTCACCGTGGCTCCTTTTTGATCCCGGCTGGTTCTTTTGCGTATGCGCCATAATTCCAAAAGTGAAAGCACCATCATCGAGAGAGATTGAACGGTTGAAGCGAGTATTCCTGGATACGGTGTGGTACGTAAGAAAGACCGTTTGTTAGTTTTTTGATATCCGAGAAGGGTATGGGAACGACTCACGGCCACTTCATTACTTGACCATTTTAAAGAGGAGCGGAGGAAAATTTCCTAAAAAATCCGCGTGCCCCGTACGGGAGGAATAGAGTTCGACGCCTGTATCATTCCAACGTTCGATCACATTATCGATCTTAATATGAGAGTCGTCGCAAGGAAACGCCCCTGCATGGTTATGCATTCTCCATTCCAAATTCCGGTGGATCTCAATTGGCATAAGAAATCATGCGTTGTCAAACGCATGAACGGAGACTTTAGCTTGGGCGAGAAAATACGATAGAGCCTTAGTTTCCGGTTTTACTGAAATATGAAAGGGCGGTGTGCTGTGACGTTTCCTTCGCAAAGGTTTGCCTTTACACAACGGTAGCACAACAACCGGATGCTCGATTTGACCAGGGGTACATATCTGTTGGAGGGCCGCAAAAGGTATCCCTGCCTAACCCGCTACAAAGCTCGCTAAACTGTCCGTGCCCGGCCTCCAAGCTAAAATCGCTTAGCTGTCTCCGTCCGACAAAGAGAGGTCACTCCCAGGTTCAGGGAGGAGTCGAGATCCGCTTGAGGGATGGGCCAGTTCTTCCGTGGATGTTTACCGGATTAATGTACGCGTCACGAAACCGTGCGCTTGTTATCACTTCTCTTGGTCCGCGCGCGCGGTTCGCCTTGGATGATGCCCCAGTCACCATTGTGCAGAGATAGCTGCTGTCTGCTGTCGTGATGCGCTTCATCGAGAAGGCAGGAGATCTGGGACCTGTGGCATATCAAGTCCGAGCCGCGAGGAAGGATGTTATAACGTGTTGATTTGGAGCTTTAAGTCGATCTCAGTGAGGGATAAAGTCGATTTACAGCCGGTCACACGACGGTCGGTGAAAAGGTTTTTTTTTTTTTTTTTTTTTTTTCATTTGCAAATGCTATCTCGTTAGACGTAGTAAGAGGACGGGATAATAAGAACTGACTGTAAGTATCAACGTAAAAGAAATACCTCAGCATCGAACAGAAGACAAACGTATCTGGGCATTGCCACCATTTAACTTTCTCGAAGCTGTGCAAAGAAGATAACAGCATACAAGAGGCGATCAAAATTGGGCTCTTAAAACTACGCTGCGAGCGTTCCTCCAGAGCTGTGTAGTATACTTGTGTATACTTGTTCTCTTGAATGAAGAACAACCACATCGTACGGGAGGATGGTAGTCCGACGCCTGTATCATTCTAACATTCGATCCCATTATCAATCTTGATGAGAGTTGCCCCAAGGAAATGGCCTCTTCTGGTTATGCACTTTCCGCTCGTAAATCCGATGCCAAGCGCTGAAATAAGGACTTTGGCTTCGGAAAGAAAGGACGGATAGAGCCTTAGTTTCCGGATTGACTGAAAATGGAAGGGCGGTATGCTGTGACGCTTTCTTCGCAAAGGTGTGCCTTCATACGACGGTACTAACAACCGGACGCTCGCTTTAACCAGGAAATAGGTGTTTCGGGAGTAATAGTCGCCTAAGGTATCTCTGCGTGACCTTCTGGAAGGCTCGCTAAACTGTCCGTGCCAAGCCTCCAAGGCAAAATCGCCTAGCTTTCTTCGTTCGGCAAAGAGAGGTCACTCCTAGGCTCAGGGAGAAGTCGAGTCCACTTTCAGGACGGGTTCAACCATCCATGGCCTTGCTGTAGGTACCGTGATGCCGTGACCCCACTCGTGCTTGTGATCGCATCCTTGGTCCGTGCGCGTGGTTCGCCTTGGATAAGGCCCCAGTCACCATTGTGCGGAGATGGTCGCGAAAATCGTGATACACTTTCATCGAGAAGGTAGGAGAGGCAAGGCTTTCCAGGGTGTACGATGTTCCAAGTCGGAGTTGCGAGGGAAGATGTTATAACGTGCTGGTTTTGGAGCTTTGAGTCGACCTCAGTGAGAGATAAAGTCGGTTTACAGCCAGTCGCGTACCTCGTCAGACGCAACAAGAAGACGAGATAGCAAAACCGACCGCAAGTTCCGAACATCCCAGCATGTGTGCAACCGAACAGTTAACTGAATTTTAGCGTATCTGCGCATTACCACCATTAACCTTCTCGGAAGCTGTGCAAAGGTGACGGCGAACGAAGTTGAGCGCGAGAGTCCTTCCAGAACTGCGTAGATGCCTGTGAATACGGTGTTCACTTGAATATGAGGTATGGGAACGAACCTTCATTGCAATCAGATTCATTCTGAACAGCTCTGAGCCGTAGGATCCAAGGTAAGTGCATGATGCCCTGTCGCAATTGAAACAAAGCGGACAGGAGGTGGAATCACATCTGTAAAGGTCGGAGACGAGCTTATGAAGCGGGATCCAGAGCATTAGAAGTAGCATGCGTCGCAAAAACAGTATCGAGTATCTATAGGAGATACATCAGATCAGAAAGAGGAGCGGATCAGGACGTAAGTACGAACGATGTGCTTGGCGAGCTCGACTGCTCCCTCTTCAGATCATATTCCCAGGCATCGACAGCAAAATACCTTTCTTTCGCGAGTGTCACCACCAAGGAACCGACGTATCCTTCTTGCTCGATATGGGTCTTTTCTTCCACTTGTCGGTGCCTCACTGCTCCCGACCCACACGATCTTCATCCTCCTATTTCCCGCAGTCCTCGTCACGGTTCTTTGGAGGATTGATGTAGACGGCCGCGGATGGTTTGGTATCCGTGCCTTTGGGTATATTGTTCCCGGCGGTTACTGTCGTCGTCGACTGTCCTGCTCTCCATGCATTGACCTCTACCCCCTAGCACGACCCTCCGTTGGTCACCATCCTCCTCCTCGTCTTCATGTTTCCAAATTGTCGCATTTCGGTCGTGCTGCAGACAAAGATCGACGATCTTTGATCCTTAGGTAGATTCGAAGTGACGAAATCCCGTGCGTAACATTGGTTGATGCCGATAGATTTGTGGTGTAGCGACAGTGCATCGCCGAGTACGCAAGTCGAGTTGGTGATAAGGCACGAAGAGAGATTAGCCCAGGATTGGCAGAAACTGTGCGAACGTGTGACCCGAGGAGGAGATGAAGGAGGGTAGCTACTAATCCTGACTCGGATGGCCGATCTTCAGTAGATGCAGAAGTAGTCCGGAGAATAGAGCATATACCCAGGTGCGTTCGTGTCCTCGGTCTCCTCCCTTTGTGCCTCGTTTGCACTAGTCCGAACCCATAGTCGTTGTCCCACCAATTAGTGATGTTGGAAGAGTTAGGGATCGATAGACTTTTAGGTGTAGGGCCACGACCAAGCTGATGGTTCGTGTTGGTCACTGTGCGACGTGACAACATCAAGCACATGCGCAATGGACGAGATGGGATGCGAAGAATGTCTTGTGTGGGGAGGGGCGAATTAGAAGCTACTGGTCACAGTTGCATTGAACAGTATAGCGAGCATGGATCGATCATTGATGGTATTGGGTAGGACACGGGAAAGAGAAATCGTGGTTCTTGACTGCTCCTGTTTCACGTCTATATAAAGAGTCGCGAGTTGGATACAAAGTCGAGACGAAAACTAAACAATACGCACGATCGATAGCTCAGTCTGACGGTAGATCCCGAAAACCCCTTTGACGCGTGCCGCGTAACGTTTGGTGAACCCAGAACATCTTCAACTTGCCGTTGATGTCGAAGATGAATGCGAACCACGATCATGGCTGCTAGTCGGAGTCTGTGAGCAAGAGTAACGGAACAATCATAAAATGACGCACATCAAGGCCTCTGCCGGAACGCCCGACTTTTACTCAGACAGCCAGTCATCTCTCCGTACAACCAATACTTCCAACCCTTAGCTTCAGCCTCCCAGCAGATGTCATAGCCAGCATCGCGATCAAGAGCTGTAGACGTTCAATAGGTCAAGTAATGTCCGTCAAGCATTGAAATAGATAGACGCACCTGTTGAAGAGATATCAAGCACAGATCGCACGCAGTCGTCGTAATTCCAAGGCGAATTCGCAAGTCTTGGCATCCTAGACAAATACGAAATATGACCAGGCCGCCTTCCAATGAGAATTCCCCAGGTCCTGAACGTCCTGGTAAAGCATTTGAAAAGATATATGTCCTGACCAACGAGGCATTAGCAAGAAGGTGGATTTTCACAATGAATTGAAGACGCACTCGCACACGACGATGATAGTGCAGTAGCTCATAGCACCGGATGGCGGATGTGAGGAAGAAAAAGAACATGACTCCAGTTGGCCAGACCCAATGCGGTATGCGGTGGTGCTGAGGAAAGACAGTCATCGTCGCCGCAGGGACTGGTTCCGGCAAGTCGGTAACACGAGGAGATCAGTGGAGATGCGTTGATGATGTGGACTGATGAGGCCTAGGTTTCGACGCGTCTTCACGGTCAAGGTCGGTACCCGGTTGAAGAGGCCGTGGGCAACCCATCCCTCCTCCACTGGTCACCGGTCAAATTTCAAAGGTCGCTTCGTTATATCCAGGCTACGACGTTCTTTCGTGCTCAGGGGGATCCCTGTCTGTCGGTAAGAGACTCGGCATGTGGCTGGCATACTAGTGCATGGCGTCTCCTTTTCTTGAAGCGTGCGATGTGGTCGTCGAGTGTAGTTCGGGATGAATGGCGCATGCGCTATGACTTTACATGCTCCCACACTTGCACCAGTTCCTCGCACTTGATCCAACGGTCATATTGTACAGGTTTATGGGCCGGGACACAACTGGGCAGGGAAGCACCGGCAGCCCTGGGATATTCGATGTCGACGCGAAGAGGTGAGCACTTTTGAGTGCGCTGACTGGTGCGGACTAAACATTATTAGATGAATATCACGGTGAGGAACTGTAAGCCTTACCGAAAATTGTACACTCCCAGGCATGCTCCCGAGTCAAACCATCAACGAAACACCCAGAGAACTTTCGCTTCTCGCTGCAGACAAGGTGATTGAGTACGAAGAGCGCTTGACATCGTAAACGGACGTACTGACAGCCAGAGCTCCCTATACCGACACCGAAGAAGGGAGTAGCAGCGATTTCATTTGAAGGGGGTCGGAATGGACTGGAACTAACAGGTATTCATCTGTGCATTCCAACGCGGTAGGAGGGCCGAAGGTGATTTGGTAGCCGTGCTTGTGGGTACATTGTTCCCGGCGATTACTGTCGTCGTCGTCGTCGTCATCGACTGTCCTACCCTCCATGGATCAGCGCAGCGCTCAGCCCCGCTACCCCCTAACACGGCCTTCCATTGGTTACTATCTCCTCCCCGTCTTCGAGTTTCCACATCGTCGTATCAGATCGACGTTAACAACGTTGATCTTTGATCCTTAGGCAGAATCAAAGTTACGGTATCCCGTGCAGTGTAACATCGATTAGGGCCGACGGATTTGTAGTGGTGCGACACCGAGGACGAAATCGCGTGACGGTAAGTGGTAGACAAATTATCGTTCGGCGTTGTAACCTTAGCATTAACATGAAGAGGCCCTGGCAGGCCTGGCAGAGAGTACGAGCGTGACCTGTGACGAGTTTATTGAACACAGCCGCCGCGTGGACTCCAGGCCTACCGGTCCGAACTACGCCGACACTCAACACAAACACCACTACCGAGTGCAACCAAACTCTCTGTGCTTCCTGTTTCTGCGTCGAAGCGCCGGGAAGGATGATTCCTAGCATCAAGGACGGATAACCGATGGGCGAAGCCTAGATCACATCGGCATACAACGCGTGTTACGATTCCTGTCTAACTGCAAGTTTTCCTTGCTTTCATTGCAGGATAATCATTCAACTTACTTGCAGGGATGGTTTGAGTCGCGATGTCCATTCCTACTGCCGTGCCAAAAAATTACTAGTACTATTGGCGTGCCGGAAGGAAGAGGAATCGTATGCCGCTTCTTCACTATCGACTCCGATGTCGGAGGAAGGGCAGACCAGCTGTTTTCGCTGATTGAATAGCCTGTGCATACTCCTTCATTCTTCTTTTCCTATAGTGTTGGCCTGGCCAGATCTAGACTTCCTAGCACCAGAATTAGCGAGGACGAGGCATATTGCAACTCTCTGGACGTTCTCATGGATCAGACGATCATCTAGATCGCCCTACGCCTCCTGGTGGTAATGGGGTGCATGCGGCTTCTACTGCAGGATGATCTCACCACGTTGGCGCTCTCTTCGCTACGTTTGGAGCCGTAACAAGAAGTACTTCGACACGCAACCTTACGAAGGCTCGCTACCAAAAAGCAGCCACGCTCAGATACGAGGGTGCTTTCCATATACTGTAATCCGCTCATCGAATCAGCGCCACTCATAGATCCCGAGCTTCAGGAAATACATCCTTTGACGGAGTATCGCACACAGAAGTTTGGGATGAACTCTCCAGAAGACATCCTCGGGCAGTGCCGGTGATGGTGCAAAGGAATCTATCACTTCTGTCTCAAAGACGCGTCGAATCCTCACCAGTTGCCGTCTGCTCCATGTGAATCACTCACCCGGACCCGAGGCGTCCACCATCGACCCTCGTGCTCATTCTCGTTGTCGTAGGCCCATACCACATCGACGCATGTCGTTTTTGGGCCGCTCTCATCGGCATAGACGCATACGAGTCTATGCAATCCTTTCTAGGGCTGTGTACCAGACACATTCTCAACAAAGACACTCCTGATTGATCTTTCCCTATGTCACGGCTATTTCGTTTCGCATACTATTACTACTAACTAGGACTTCTGCCACAATACACAACAGCACACTGATCTCGAGGAAGAATCCATTCTGACGCGTCTAAGCCTCCTCACCCTAGAACCTCCCACAAGATAGCACAATATCTCGGCGCTCAAAATTCCTCCCGTGAACACCTTCCCGTGCCAACGTCGTCGACCTGCTTCCCAGTCTTATTATATAACAACCTTGATGCCACACAAGTTTGACGTGAGGTACGAACGGCTCAAACTCTGTGTCTGGCCAAGTAAAACGTAGCGAACAGAGAGATCTCTTATCCCAATGATTTCGTCACTTTGCCCCAGTTGCTTGGCTCAGCAAAGTGCGCCAAACTTGCGCTATTCCGTGCAAGAGTATTTTCACTTCGTTCTCTCTCGTTCTCTTCGTCTCAGTAGCTCCGTTACCCCTTCGCTCTCGTTTGACCCGCCCACCTACTCCCTTATTTATTTGTTTGGGTAGCACCTGGTCGGACGCTGCAGCTACGTCCTTTCAGCTGCTCAGATTTCAGGTTTCCCCGAACAACTGAGTTCTCGGCTTCCACTGTTGCGAGTTTGAGCTTTCGACATCTCTTCATCCCTGTATTCACCCTGGGACTGGTTTCATTGCCAGTCTCCTCCCTGCTCAACTCCGAGTTCTCTCCCCCCAAACCCAAGAAATCAAGGATTTCTTGTCTCGTACCTCAAGTTACATCCCGAAATCATCTATACTATACTCGCTACATCACTACTCTAATCTCACTTCCGCAGCTTCACTTGGGCTCTGCCGCAAAGAGAGAACACACACCTCTGCTCCCAGGTTCAACACCGTGATCGGCCGTATCCATCAGAATGGAGAAGAAACACGATAGTCGCGAGTCTTATTCGTACCATTCTTTGATTCGAAAGATTGGACGTAACCCCTGCGTTGCATCAGGCTTCGGATGTATAATGGAATCCAGAACTGTCTTGCTTCAATCCTTCCAATTCTCTCCCGACAATATCGCCTTGAATTTTGCACCTGTTAAGCCCGCTAAAGCACAGATGTAATAGCTGTTAAAAATGGTTTTTAACGGCTATAACAACTGCAAGGGAGAGGGATATCTACGGTACTTGAATAAAGTTGTCCTGCGTGCTCGTAATTATCAAGTCCTCTGGCACGTTTTATCAGCAGGTACGCATGACATAACTGAGCATGCGGACATCATTCCCCCCGAGCATGCGCTCACCGAATTACCTCCGTCATCAGCCGCCCATCAAATTTGCTGTGCCGAGCCTTCTGTTCATCACCCCGCACGATGAGCTCAACCATATAGTGTATATACCTCAAATTTCACCCCAAAATAATAGAAAAATGCGCAATATATAGATTAATTTTGTCCATTATGTTTTTTGACCTAAATAACATCAAGTGGCCTCATGAGATAGGGAAAACTATCAGAAATATGTGGTAAAAAGAGTAATAGGGGGATAGAGGAGACATACCTGGTATTTTACATTTCTAGTGGTTGGGGCGGGTACTCCTGTTAAATAACAGATGATATACATTGTATAATCATGTGTACAAAACTCCATGGCTATCCGAAATTTATTGAAGGGGATATGAGCAGATCATTCTGCAAAACAGGAGGAGCACATCCCCAATTTCGATGTTACAGTCATCCTATGGTCCTGGGATTATCAGAATCGATTCCTTGACCCAAAAAACACTAGGAACACCTATCATAACCTTCCTAGCCAGGTTCGCGAGCCATTCAAAATCAATTCAATCTTCGGTCGATCAGTGCCTAGGTAGGCTGCTTCTGGGCATTCTCGGTCAACCATTGATCCCATTTCCTAACGTGGGTTTATCTTCTTGTACCACTGGCAACCTGTCCCACGGCACTGTAGTCATTCACTGAGACCTGGGAATTACCTGAGGGGAGGTGCATAACCCTGATGGTGCTGTTTCCTTGTGACTCGGTTCGATCATGATGGAAGTGCAACGAGCAACATAGACCCATATGACCTACCAGAGTTCGACAATCGAAAACACTTATACACCCATCTTCCCTTGCACCAACCCACCCAGAGAAAAGAATATGACATTCCTCAGAGAGAAATTAAGTCCGATCAACGCTCGTCTGTCCTCCCTACTCAATTTTCTCCGCATCATTCTCTAAAATCTCACATTGATGGTGCATTATGCTGTTAATAGGGAGACAATTGCGACAAGTAAGTTTATCTTCAATATTTAAGTAGCCATTCCTTAAATTTCTATTCTCTTGCAAGATTCTCCGGGTTGAACACCTACACGATGCAGCCGTTTGCACATAAGGAATTGTTTCTCGTGCTCGTTTATTTTACATGCTTCAAGCATGTTGTCCGATGACTTCGGGACATATTTTTAGTTTGTAGAGGAGGATAAAGTATCTAACTGTCGTATGTGATCCTATCTTCATTATACCATTGACTAATGTAATAATTTCCCCTCTGCTAATGTCGCGACTTGCAAATCCAAATTTGACCACTTAGGCTCCTTGATTGCCATCTGTAATACATCGAGCCTTAGGTACGTCTATTAATGTTTGGTCTGCTTTAGCTTTGACTCGGACTGAACATTTTAGAAAA